GGAACTATTTTAACTACGCCATCTTAGAGCAGTCACTCTATGGTTTTCAAGGCATATTAATCCAGTACATATGCCACCATGGTGAGCCTCTTCTTGTTTATTCCATTGTGTAATTTACCGGTTTCCTACCGTAAATACTGCCACTGCAGTTACACCACCAATATGCGCCACTAGATTTTAATTTGGACTACATTGCATATAATTTAATTCAAATAATACTATCATACAGGTTAGAAATTTTTAATTCGTACTCTAAGGATTTTCGAACCCAGGTTCGCGAGTAAAAGGCACCCATCTCCTTCCCTGCATACACCAGCCCATTTCCCGTCACGACTAAGCACGTATCACCAAAATATGATGGCACTCATTCGGTGTTATATGATCTCGTGTATAGCACACACACTCGCATTGACGATCTATTGATTAATTCACACACACACACACACACACACACACACACACACACACACACACACATATATATATATATATATATATATATATATATATATATATATATATGCATACATACATACATATATATATGTATGTATGCATATATATATATATATATATATATATATATATATATATATATATATATATATATATATATATATATATATATATATACATACATACAAAGAATTATAAAATCTGTGCATGTGTGTATGTGTCTGTGCATGTGTCAAAATGTTTAGTGTTATCAAAATTGGAGAGACCTTAAGTTGCTGCAGGAGTGACTTTCGTTTTGCTATATATCTCTTGTTGGATTGTATAACAACTCCACCAGGCACTGCAGAAGACATCAGTGGTTTCTTTATAAGAGTAGTTTCCAGCGCGTGGAGACCAAAACTGAGACGAATGGTGTGAGATAACCAGACTTAGATAGTTAAAGGAAGGTTAGCAAAACAGGCAGATTTCTATCACATTGATGAGAAAAACCTAATATATGATACATATTGCTAAAGCATAAATAAATATGGAACAAAAACGTATAGTTTATTCATGGCCTTTTAATATTAAAATAAATTTATGTATATTAGATATATTTTGGTATTAATGTGTGTATTAAATTTGGACAAAAACCCATTGTTATATTGATGCATCGTGAATAGTTTAAGCCGGACTACATAGGCCACAAGTGCACTCGGAGATTATTTCATTTTGCTAACCAAACATTTGCTCGGCGCACAGACGTATCTTATGAAAATAGCAAAGTTGAATGTACAGCATGTAACAGATATACTAAAAAAAAAAAAATTAGCTACGTCTACACTTACCATCGCAAAATGCGCAGGCAGATCTGGGTGCAGGCATTTTGTTAGGAATAAAAAAATGGAACAAAATATAACAGACCTAGATCTGCTGTCGCATTATTTGACAGTAGACCTGGGTCTGTGTTATTGGCAGCCTGTAAGTGAGTATATACGGTCAATAAATCTGTATTTCAAGATTGCATCAACATACAAATTGTAGGCTGACTGCATGAACTGATTTTTCTGTAGTAAACGTAAAATGTTTAATCCATTATCGACTGAGTTTGGTCAAAATATCTCCCGTATTTGAAAATAAAACAAAATTAGGGAAGAATTGTTGAAAATAAAAATGAAAACGATAGATGATAATTTGTGCTACTTCTGCTGTATAGATGTCCTGCAGATACGAGTTATCTTCCATAGTTGTGAATATCAGTGACATTTTTGTGTGGGGAAATAAGTGTAATCACTGTGAAAATTGCTTATCTGAAACCCAGTCTTTGTCTTCAATCGGTTATTACCTTTTGTCTACAAAGCTTCGTTAAGGCTTCCGTAAAAGGTTTCTTGCATGATCGGGACTCAGAACCCAAGGTAGCAAACATAATGAGCAATTAATGACAGACTTGAATAGTAGTATGGCCACATTTATTGATAAAACAATCATACTATGCGCATGCCACACGAAAAATAAATAATCCTACACCGATCAGCTTCGAGGTCACGTCTGTATGTTAAGAGCAAGAAAATTGGTTCCAAACACGTGGACCCATTATTTTGTTAATTTGCATGACCCAATAAAGTAAAACTAACACATTTCTTCGAAATTATTTTAAACTATTCACAATTATTTCAAAGAAAGTGTATCAATATGTATTTTGCAAAGCTTAAAATTGCTGATGCTTATTGGAACACTTCCTTTGTCAAATCCATATTTAAGGCGTTGCGTAGTTTTCCACGTTGTAAAGCTCTTAAATATCAGTGGTAAGTAAATCTTGATTGTAGCTTGCAACTCCATAATGCCTAAATATTAATGATCGATTTTCCAGAAAAATACAACAAAAAAAAAGATAAACAAAATTAAAACCGTCCACAAAACCCAAAACAAAAGAGGGCCCCTAGTGGCCCAGTGGTCTAAAGTACTCTCCGTTACGTGTCACTGCAATCTCACCTCTGTCTGCGTGGGTTCGAGTCTAAGATTCGGCGAATGTAGATACGTGAGAAAGCTTGCCAGTATTGTCTCGTGGGTCGGTGTTTTTTTCCGTGGATTTCCCGGTTTCTTCCTCCACCATTAATACTGGCCGCCATGTATAGCCTATCGTGTGCTGAAAAATGGCGTTAAGCCCAACAACAACAATAGCAACAACACAAAACAAAACAAACTATAGATGGAACAAAGAAAGAAACAAAATAAAAACAAAAAAGGGGAACATTTGAAGTTTGTGCTGATAACTACTATTTCAGCAGCCATCCAGACCCCGGCTATATACGAAACAAGGATAGATCGAGATATTATGCATGTACCGAACTATTTTTCATTCGCAACTTCTCAGTCAGTCCAACGTTCGCAGAAAACATCGTATGTATGTCGATAGTTCTCATTCGGACCACTCTGGGTACAAAACAAAAATTGACTGAGACATTATGAATGATCCTATTACTTTGTTCTAAAATAGGTAACAGCTCTGTTTATCCTACAGTCAGTTCAATCGCAGAAATAATTAATGTGGTCCTAATAGAGTGGGTTGTTTGTTTGTTGGGGGGGATTTCCGGTGAACAAAATGTATCATTTTTCTTTAAATTACTGCGCCAAGGTTGATCCAAATGCACAGAGAACGGTCTATCATCACCAAAAAAAAACAACAAAAAAAAACCCAGCCCAATATAAAAATATAAGAAAAGCAATGACGATGTTCCGATTGTGACTTTTGTATCTCTCCGCCACCATATTGTGCCATGTAAACAAAAGTAGTTATCAATGATGGCAAAATACATCCGAGATCTTTTTCGACTTGACGGAAAAGGCCGCGAATATTCTGCCAGAGTAGTGAACTAGCATTTTCCATCTTAGTTTAACGTCTGAACCTCTGCAAATTTTATATAATGTACAGGGCCAATGCTTCGTATGATCCCTGCTACGACTAAGTCATCAGAAGACACAGATTTCATTAGTTATCTGATTATAATATTGACCTGCCAAATGGCTGGGCACCACAAACAGTCCTACGGTCAATCTAATTTTATAGAATTGCCACGGTAGTCCGAATGGATTGCGGGGGGTGGGGGTGGTTGTTGTTATGTTTTGCAGAATTAGCTGCGATGGTCTGATATCTCCGTCAGACCAAGTGCCTGACTAAAATAGTTTAGTCCCCAACAAGAGTAATTTTTTGAAAATAATAAAAATGCGTGTTTGATCACTACTTGATGAATTTTTTAAATGATGTCTTTAAAACTGAGTAATTCGGGGAGAAAACTGGAGAGATCGTTCTTTGTTACTCTTTCCCGTATAATTGTCAATTAGCGTTCCTAAGGATTGGGTGTCACGAGTCAGTGGCTAGTTATTTCACACCAGATCATCACATAGTTTTCAGTGTAAATATGGCTATGTGCGTGTGTTTGTGTTTTATTAGTTTGTTTCTGTTTGTTGTTTTCTTTCTTCTCATTTTATTCAGATTTTTTTCAGAGTTATTACTGGAGACGGTATACTGAACTACATAATATTTCCCTCAAAAAATGAGATTTAATTGAGTTTAATGGTTGCATGGTTACAGGATTCACATGAACAATCTCACAGCATTTCCTATTGGAACAATTTGACATTCGTGTACTTATCTCTATTACTGTTTTCTTAGGAAATAAAGCAGGCTCCTACAGAAACAAACTTTCATAAATGCCTGGTTATATACCACTCCGGTGGCCTAATGGTTAGAGCGTCCGCCTCAGGTGTGGCAGGTCGCGGGACGAGTCATACCAAAGGCTTATAAAATGGTATTAACAGCTGCCTCGGTAGTCGATCGGTATTAAGAGGTTAGTGTAGGACTGATCGGTCTAGCGTCTGGATAATGTGTCTGGGTGGGACATCATGCTACCTGTCTGCGGCATGCTGACCCAGTACTATACATCACTATAAACTGTCACACTGCAAAAATCGTACCGATGCGACCGAAATGTTTTTAAAAAGTTACTTTAGAGCTATGGCATTAAGTTTTCATCGAGTTTCCCCGGGAGATAATTAGATATACTGTAGACAACTGTTCTCTATTGCTGCCTATTTCGAGACATTTTATGTTTCTATTATTATTCTCACGATGTATAATGTCTACGTGTAGTAACTGTATTGTTTTCATGGCGTTTCCATATCCTGTTCTCCATTGTTGGACAAAAAGTCGGAAGACAAAAAGTCACGTTTGTGATTTTCAAGGTCATAAAGCAGGTGTACGATAACAATATTCACATGAAAAATATCAGAATATTTTTTATTGGAGTTACTATAAAGATGTAGATCAACAAGTCGCATGATGACTTTTAAAGTATTCATACTACATCAGTTAGACCAATATTTATTCACTCCCTTTCTTACTTTATTCAACAATTTTAATCTTTAATTTTTTCAGGATTTTAGGATAAAATTTTTAATTTACATTTGCTGATGCAATATATGAAACATTTTGACTGTGCTCTTTGGTATTATTTATAGCATATGAACGAAATCTATAATAATTTGTGTCCTATTAACTGATATCCGGCGCCCTCGTGGTTAGAGCGTCCGCCTCGGATGCGGAAATCGTGGTTTCAATCCCCGGCTGAGTCATACCAAAGACTTACAAAAATGGTACTAACAGCTGCCTCGCTTGGCGCTCATCTTTAAGAGGTTAGTGTTACGACTAGTGACCCTGACGTAAGGACAATGTGACTGGGTAGAACATCATGCATGATATAGTATGATGTCCCAGTGTTAGACATCACTAGAAACTGCCACACTGCAGATATGGTAGTAATATGACTGAAAAATTGTAAAAACTACGTTAAAAATCTAAATCACACACACACACGCGCGCGCACACACACACACACACACACGTTAGTTTTTATAAACTGATACATTTTTGCCTGTTAAATTGTTAAAATCACCCGTTCCTATATAATATATAATATAATTTCGTTACGAGAGACTATACATTTCCCTTTAGCATGCATATCCTGTAACCTTGTGTATATCGTAATTAATGAAGCGAAAAATGCCGCCAATTGATACATTCTTATCAGCATTACAACTTCCTGTACAAAAACATCTGCAAGCAAACCACACTATCAATTACTAAATAATTCTCAAAACTACTTTCCTGTCCAACGCAACTGCTCCAAATTTTGTGTAATATTTTTTTAATTATTAGTAATGTTGCTATTTTATAACATTACAAGTTTTCAAATGTGACATTTGCTATATAGTTTTCCTTCATTGTTTCAACAAATATCCATAGGAAAAGTTCCATATTAACTGTTTTCAGTTAGTTTTCTCTCTCCAAATAGGCTTATGCAAAATTGAGTTTGACGATAGCATGGTTACTGTTTTTTTATCCATTATTTTCGCGATTTTTTTTCCCAATTAGCAATTTCATGTACTTTTGTTAGTGTTCCCTGATCATTATCAAATACATTTTTGTTACTTGTTTTTTCTTTCTTGGTGTTTGTGTCTTTATAAGTTGAGATAGATGACTGGTTTCTTTTTAATGCCATTTATCATTATCTTCACTGAACAGAAATAGTTTTATACACCGTTCTTTTTATGACTGTTGTTCTCTCAGGAAAATTAAGTCTTTGCAAAGACGAGTTAGGTAATTGCCAGATCACTGCTTTATATGACGCCTTCACACAGTACACGTACATAATGCATAGTCTTACATGTTGGTCCCCATTTATTGTCCCCTTTTCATGAAACTTTATGTACATTCAAGCATACAAGGCTGCCATAAGTGGCTGACGCTAAACCTTGAAGGGTGGAGTAATGGAAATGGGGGCGCGATTTTGTTTAGGCTATGCAATTTTCACAAGATTCAATCGAAGGCATATAATACGGAATAATGCTCCAACAAGGCCGTGCAATACAGTAGTTAATGGAACTCAAATACAATGATGTAAAACTATTTTATAATTTGTTCTAATTGTATAATGTAAATTTTAATAAGATATGAAAATACAGGCTTACATCTACAATAATGATTATGAACAATAATGTACGTGTTTTGTGAATCAGGTCTACGTATGCAGTTTTGTGTATTTATTACACATCCATTTAATCGTACATGTTTGATCCTGCGTTCGATACAGTCGTTCGATCCGTATTTCCATATCACACAACCAGATTAGAACTATATGGGTGTTTTCTTTGACGTCTGCGTGTATAAATGTTTAGATGCGGTAACAAATGTAAGGACTACACTGATCGGTTGGAATTTAGGCGCGCCTCTCCTACGACCAAAACACCCTAGTGGGTTAAGGTAACGATTGAAATGTAAACAACGAACCACCAATCAAAAGACGCCAACACTACAATGTAATCAGTATACATTATACCCATTCAAAAAATTCATTCATGTGTACTTGTGTTGGATCATAATACTGAATAATAGTAAGTACGCGTTAAATATTAATGACAGTAATAATAATAATAATAATAATAATAATAATAATAATAATAATAATAATAATAACAATAATATTACTAATGATATTAATAGTGATATTTATATTATAAAACAATCTCAAACTCCCTTAACTACTACTCTAACTAAAAGTAAAATAATGCTGATATTAGTCATAGTATTAATAAACAGAACAAATTAAACCAATAATAAAAATAACAATCATCATAACAACCAATCTAATCATATAAACATTACATTTACACCTATTAAGCAAGTAACAATAATAAGAATAAAATATAAAATTACTTCTACAACTAATAATGATAGGATAGGAATAATAATAATGACCTGAATCCAATAGTAATATAACTAAAAAGGATAGCAATAATGATAATAAATTTAATAATAATAATAATAATAATAATAATAATAATAATAATAATAATAATAATAATAATAATAATATCTTTTAAAAAATTTAAATTACCTTTCTTTCCACTATTGATGATATTAATATTAAGAATAATCTAATGTCACTAAACCAATATTAATATTATTAATAACACAAATAATAACCAATTATGCAGAATTAGTAGTAATAGATTTGGTCATTAAACAAATCTGAACAAAATAATAATATATTCCCATAAATACACTACGGACAATATGACAACTGAACATACGAACTTGGGTCATCGTGACGATACAAAACAGGAAGAAGGAGGAGAGCACAACAGTTACAAGACACAGACCAGACCAAGCAGGAAATTTTCAATAAGAAAAGGCTCACAGACTGGAGGAACAACAACATCAATCGTCATAATGAAAAGATATATCAACCTCATGGCCTTTTTGAACAGATTAGTAACTTACCAACAGTTACAAGATGATCCAGTCAAAGCAGGAAAACTCCAACAAGAAAAGATCTACAAACCTGGAGGAACAACATTAACAACAATCGCGCCATAATGAAAAGATTAATCAACTTTCATCGCCTTTTTTGAAAAGATTTTATAACAATTACTCTACAATTGCCTGAAAATACCTCGAGTAAGGGTCAGTTTTGGAAGCTTTCCCTTTTGTCCCACAAGTCCCCCACCCACCCACCCACACCCACACCCACACCCACACACACCCACACATACACATACACATACACACAAACACCTTACAGGTGTTTGGTATCGTATTAAATGTAAGAGACAATCCAGGACATACACCCCTTCCCCTGCTGTCCCATAACACCTCCTGTACACGGACAAGCACTAAAGCGTGGGACAGCCAGGGCTGCGCGGCCAACTGCCAAGACACATTTTTAAACTGTCTTCACTTTGGCTCTAGAGGACAATCAAACAAACATGATTTTTTGGAACGGCGGTCAAAATTACTTAACCATCCTCATTTAAGCGGAGCTAAAATTTATAATGGATGGCATACATGTAATATATTGGGAGTACTTTCGGCCCTTATAAGTACGCTAAATACGCCAAATTCCAATACGGTAACATAATATCATCTATAATATAAAAAAGTAAGTATGAATGGTCTTTCAGCCAACTTCTTTCAAATTAACATATCCTCTCCCTGTGTATATTAACGGCAATCTCTTATGTATGTCAACAGCTATACGCATTTGGGTCATATTTTGAAAACCAATCGGCCAGTCGATGAAGATATGATGAGAACTTTAATGAATGTATGAAAAGGAAACTAGTACTTGATTATAATAATAGTATTCATTTTCTATTTGGTCTTTAAGAATAGAATAGTGTCTCCAACATACTTGTAAATTACAATGTATTCAGTTTTGATGAAGTAATGAAAAATTATGTATTGTCAACTCAATGATGACATGCATATCTAATAGCAAGGAACTATATATTGAAATCTCTTTGGAACTATGACACTCATTTAAATTCTCATATTATTAGTAGATGGAACAAATTACTCTTTAAATGTGCCACTTATTTCCATTCTTAATTGGTGTAGATGTATCTGTTTACATGTACATATGATATATATATATATATATATATATATATATATATATATATATATATATATATATATATATATATATATATGTGTGTGTGTGTGTGTGTTTTATGTATACAATGTTTTTACTTTATATCTAAATTTTAGTTTAGATGTATGGACTATGTAGTCTGAAATAAACAATTCCTATCTTATGTTATCTTAAATAGGATGAAACAATACAGTTCATCTGATGAAATTTATCCACTCGTGCTGTCTTACATTTTTATTTCATGCTCAGACGGCTAAGGTGTATCTGAAGTATCTGATTTCTAACGTAAATGCCAGGTGTTTACTGCTTAGGTTCTGTCATATTTTGTTTACATTCTCACAGTAAATATGAGTATTAACATAATTTTCTTAACTAATTCAAATTTTGTTTTAAAAAAATACCAAGAAAACAAAACGATAACAAAATATCCCAAAACAAAAACAAAAACCAAAGGAAAAAAAAAACAACAACAAAGCATACAACCCCACACCCAAACAAACAAACATTCAAACAAATAATTTTCTAACCTGGATCTCCTTTGTTAAAGTATGCCATTCTTACTAACAAGAAATAAATAAAAACTCCGCATACGTAAACGTATGTACAAAATTGTATGAAACTGTTAAACTGTATGTTAAGCTTATATAACTGTGTCATTACTCAAGCGAGCGTCACGATTTTGGGTACTTGAGTAATACTAGAAAAAAAAATAAGTTTATGTGTATTTATAAAATGTAATTATGAGTACTTCCTGAAACTGGATATAGGGAAAATATATTCAATCTAAGTCATGCGTAGTTTATGAGAAAGGACTTTCTCTCTTTTCATCCACTTTACACATCTTAAGTAATCAAGGTGGAGCTTACTACGCCCTTTGGCCTAGTGGATAGAATCCGGTTCGGATGCGGTAGATCGTGGGATCGATCCCCGGCTGAGTCATAACAAAGACTTATAAAAATGACACTAACAGCTGCCTGGCTTGGCGCTCAGCATTAAGAGGTTAGTGTTAGGATTAGTAGACCTGGCGTTATTATAATGTGACTGGGTGTGACAAGTTGCTACATGTCTGCAGCATGATGCCCCAGTGCTAGACATCACTATAAACTTCCACACAGCAGACACTGTAGCGATATGACTGAA